AGTTTCTCTTCCAGTGCCCTTCGCCATTGCAGTGGAAACACTTTTCTTTGAGTTTCTGGATGGGACCTTTAGCCTTCTTGGGTCTCTTGTTCTTTCCTTTCTTCGTTTTTCCTTGGTTCTGGTTCTTTCGTTTATTTTTACCAGAACTTCCTACAACTACAACATTTGCTTCTTCTCTCCTTCGCTTGTTGGTGGATTCAAAATTTTGCAGGTCATTCATGAGTTCAGTGAGATTGGACTTTTTCTTGTTCATAACAAAGTTGTTCACGAACTCATGAAAATCAGGGGATAAGCTTTCCAAGATGATGCCAACTTGGGTGGCTTCATCGATCCTGGCACCATTGAGCTCTGCATCATGGAGGTGATCAATCATGTTCAAAACATGTGCCTTGACTGAAGAACCTTTCTTCATCTTGTCGTTCATGAAAGTCCTTATAGCATCCAAACGAGCCTTCTCAGAGGGAGCGCCGAACATGGCTTTTAAAGACTCCATTATCTCATAAGCAGTCTCCATCTCCTCATGCTTCTTGCGAAGCACATCGCTCATACTGGCTAACATAAAGCACTTTGCTTTGTTGTTGGCCTTGATCCAACGATCATAAGGCTCCCTTGCGGTTTTGGTTGCATTAGCCGCGGGTTTAGGAGGACATTCATCCACTAGGACAAATTTGTAGTCTTCGCAGACTAACAGTATGTTCATGTTACTTTTCCACTTAGCATAGTTATCACCGTCTAATTTTTCAGTCGCTAGTAGTGTGATACTGTGATTCGACATATTGCTGAAAATAAATAGAATATTCATCTAATCAATTTATGTGCATGAATATCAATGTATGTTAATTTAGGCACAATTAAATATGATGCATGATGCACATGAAAAATACATAAATCATGTTTTAATTTTGGGTGCCAACGATAATCCAATTTACCACGAATATAGTGCCGCCGTAGGGTAGGTCAAAATATCACAAATTGAACCGAGACCTTCTCAATTGATAAATATAATCAAAAAATCTCAGTTTTTCATATTTATCAACTACCTTTATTTTTGGTCAAAAATATAATCAACAAATTGATTACATTTTCATGAGTGTAACCCATCATTTCAGATTCTACAGACTTAACTCCAGAGTGCCGCCGTAGGGTAGGTTTAACCGAAAATACATCATTGAATCCTATCGCTAGGAAGTCAACATTGTTATTAATCCGAAAGAACACTTTCCGTAGGGAGTGCGGAATCGGTGCCGCCGCAAAGCCCCTTTCGAATCTCACGGTGTTGAACTAATGATGGAGACTAGTGGGTCGCATTGTCATACAACCCTCTCCCACTCATTATTTTGCAAATATGTATTTTATTTGAAAAAAAAAAATCATGGTTCTCAAATAAAAAAATAAACAATTTATTTTTCGGATATGTGAAATTCTAAAATTTAACTCTTAAATTCAATTTCACATGTAACATTATTTTGCAAATTAATTTTGCAACTTAAATCAATTTAATCATATTAAATCGATTTTAGCGCATGGTTCTTATTTTATTTTATTTTTCTAAAACTCTTTTATAATAAATAAAATAAATAATAACTAATGCGCGTATATGCATGGCATGTTATAAAACATATGAGTAGGCACATTATATCTATATGGCATGTTATATGCATGGACATATAATATATAATTATCAACATAAAATATAAATATATGCAATCAACTATTGAGATGGATTTGATCGGGTTCCATGAAAAAATAAATTACAACTCAATCAATTCGAATAAATAAATAATTACAATAATTATATTCTTCCGTTACATCAACGGGTCTTTGATTCTCGAGTTCTTTATTCTTCGGCTTCATTCTTTGTCTTCGGGATGAATTTCACCTTTCTTGGGGTCCGAAACTTTTCCGGGTTCGTCGGCACGCATTACGAGGGTTTTGGAAACCTTCGGGGCCGTTCGGGATCAAATCCCGAAACTTGGGCCACCAGCCGTGCGCGCGCGCAAGATGCCCGCGCGCTGTGCGCGGGCGCGCGGACTGTCCGCGCGCTAACCGTGCTGGGGCCGCGCGTTGTGCGCGCCTGTGCGGACTCTCCGCGCGCTGGGGCGCGCACGGTGGGCGATTTCTGGAAATTTTCTGGGCAGTTTCTGGGCATTTTCAAAGGCTTCAAACTTGATCTTTAAGGCCTCATTTTGATTCAAAATCAAAACCCTAATTCTACCCAAAACCTAGAATTACAATAATTCTAATCCCGAATAAAATTACAAATAATTTAATCAATGAATAAATATAACCGATCCATGAAACCATATAATTAACGACTAAATCCACCATCCATACGTTCATCAACATGAATTAAAATAAACATCAATAAATGCAAGTGCTTACCCATCACATACATACATAATTAAATATCACAAATTTAATATATCAATTATGATTATCAAATAATCGAAGCATAAATTAATATCGTCTATAGACCGCTCTGATACCGATTGCTGGTTCCCGAATCGAATTCGGGTGCGGAAGCGTGGTGCGGGAAGGCGGATCGTGTATAACAAAAATTTTCATAAAACTTTTGAGATATTCTATAGATTATATTAATTTATGCACGAATAAATTAATCGCATTAATTTACATCAAGAACTCAATCTAGGAAAAAATACCTGGAAGCCGACTCGGATGATATCTTGAGTTCTTTGACCACGAACAGTCCTTGCTCCAATCTTTGTGTTTAGAATACCAAAGTCTTCCACGTCAATTCCTTGATTCCACGTAGACGTGTGTGTGGGCACACGTGGACAAAACAGGTTTCTTAAATACTCGAATTTTCACAAATACCAACGCATGCACGATGTGGAATTTTTAGAGAAAAAAAAATATTCTCTCTTTTTCCTCTGTGAATTTCGGCCACCAACAATTAGGGCTGAAAAAATGTTTCAAAAATTGTGTGCACAATTTTCTATCATTCTCATATTTAAAGTGTAGAAGTCCAACTTCAAAACAGAATCAAATCTTTATCTCCAATTTTGAATTTTGAACAAAAAATCCCTTCCCCTTATCTCTTAAGTGGCTGGCCATATCAGGGTTTCCTAACCCTGTGTGTGGCGCCAATTCAGATAGGGAAGGAAGAGAAAAATCATCCTTTATCCTGTAGTCCAATTTTGATTCAGATTCAAATTCAAATTTAAGTCAAACTTAAATTAATTTGAATTCTAAATTGAACAACTTATCAAATAAGTTTAAATGGATAAATCTAGATGTATTTAAATTCAAATTTAAATAATCACATTATTTAAATAATAATAATTAATTCTCAATTAATTATTTTTCGAGTATTTAATTTTAGAATTCTGTAATTCTAACATTCTCATTTTGCCCTTTGTGTCTGGTAAAATTACAAGGACGACGCGGGGACATATGGACTTATAATCCCGAGTTCCAATAAAATTAATAATTAATTAAACACTTTAATTAATTAACTAATTCTATTAATTCAAATAGTTACTTCACTATAAACTTGGAGTTAAACTCTCGAAATTATAGACATTAATTACTTCTAAACTGCGAAGTGTCCATTTGATATAGTCATTACATATAGATCAATCCTCCATAAATAATTCATAATTAGAGTCAGGTAGAATCCGTTAACCTCTCTAATTATATCTGCATCATTGAGTACTATTGATTCTCTAATGGATAGTGATTCATAAAACACATTCATGAACCAGAGCGCTCTTACTAATCCAAATACCGAATCAACACTCAAGAGAATTATTTATCTACTTCTTTCTCAAGAAGGAATGAATTCCATCTCGTATAATAACATTCACAGCTACCTATTTCATTATGTCTCCAAAATACAAGGAATAGGATTCAGGGTCTCAGAATCCGTACCGAGTAAATCAAAAGACATAAATCCATAAATAGGAGTTTGTTAAGAACTCAGGATTAAGATCATCCTATATATGACCATCAGTAGACTCAATTAGAATTTCTACGCTTAACGAAAATTATTAGAAATTCATAGTGTCTTTGTCCTTGTTCCACATAATCTTATTATGCGAAATACATTCATTCAATATCTCGCCATATTAACCGTGCGGATAACACCGTTCCATTCTAAATGAGAATGACATGTATTAATAATGTTTTAATTAAAGATTCCGAACTTTAATTAAATTCATCATTAACAATGTTTTTGATTATTATCTTTAAACACTATCCTCTTGTATATAACACTTATATACTATGTTTAAGGTTACATAAACAATCACGGAATTTTCATTTGATATTCATAAAATATTCATAAATATATGCACATAAAATGATGAATAAACTCTTTTATTAATTAAATAATAAATATTCTATTACATTTCATACTCTAGAACACTATTCCCAACAAAAAATTCCTTCATTGATGATAAACAAATACAAAGGACAGATGATATGAAATCCTCAGCGAAACAAAAAGAAGTAAAGGAAAAACAAAATTATGGCTTCTTTAAAAAATAATAATAATAATAATGAATATCTCCAGCTGTTATGTACTTTGTGTTTGCTTCTTCAGTAATTGCTACATCTGTTCTTACATGCCTTTGATGTACTTGTCTGATACTTATGTATTAAAAGTAATCTATTTTCAAGTTAGAAATAATGTAGAATGTCGCAAGGACTTGCACATTTGCAATTTCAGAGGACTTTGCTTTATAATGCAGTTCGTATCATTTAGTATAAGGACATTCTTGACAAAGGAAAACTAGGTCCCATTCTATTAGATTGTCTATTTGGATTTACGCTAGTCTTTTGTATTTTTTCTCCAGCTTGCAGGTGCCTACTTTGCATTTTTGGAGATTCTTTGTAGCTGCCATTTGACTTTTATTTTGAATTTGGATACCAGCACCTTTATATATATTGTTGGATCTCTTGATTTAGGACTCAAAGGTTTAAATGAGAGCATCTCATCACAGGTTGGTTTGATACGAGTGTATTTCAGCTTTTAGAATATGTTTTTTTTTTTATTTTACTTTATTTTTATTTTTGTCTATTTCTTGTAATTTTTTCGTTGAATGAAGGTTCCAGTTTATTATCAAAAAAAAAAAAAAAAAAAAATTGTGTATGTAATATCTCAACCGAAATAAGAAAATAAGATTGTCATGATGAAACCATTCAAGATGTGGTCTTGCTGGATACTGGGGTCTTGAGATGTCTTATGACTAATCTTATATTGTTGCAGTGTGCATCTGCTCTTGACCATTTGGCAAGTTTTTATTTCTTCAATGTTACTATGGGGGATTCACCTACTTCGCCTGCTGCTCTCAATCTTGCTCAGCGCGTTACTGATTGCCCTGGTTTATTCCCACAAGTAAGTTTGCTTTATAAACCTGTAATAAGATGCCGGTGGCAATTCATTTTTCTTCTACTTCAGTGAAGAAGGAAACCTACTCTCTTTTGAATTGAAGTGAATATAGTTATTTTTTCTTATGTGTAGCATATAAGGAGGTTTAATTAGTCAAACATCGATGATAAGTAGCAGGAACCATATTATTTAAAGTTTCATGAATTTATGGCCTAATAAATTACATTTATTACAAGTCAGTTGAACATTGTTGGGCTAGTTGAGGCCGTTAAACTTTAGGGTTCAATCTTTCATGCCATTTGCCTGGTGAATGATTATGAGTATCATGCTTCAGAGGATTGTAATGTTTGACTGGGGCTCCAATTTTGAACTCAAGGCTCAAAGCAGCTTAGGGATTCCTAAATTATCTAAAAGAAAAGGAAAAAGGAAAGAAAGAATAAAAAAAAAAAAAAAAAAAGAAACAAAAGATACTTGTAAGCTTATGTGTGTTTGCTCGTACATATTTTGCTTTACCTCTTCTTGTGTTGTTATTTGTTTATTTTGAAAGTGAAATCATGTTTAACATTTGCAAGCAGCATATATTTTGCTTCTTATGTTCTAATTTCAATCAGTTAAATGTAGAAGCACAATTAGCTTATCATCTTATTTGCATCAATGACTTCAATAATTTACTTCTGTTTGGGATAGAATCTAGGAACAGCCAAAATTTGGAGGACATAGAGGGAGATGTAAGTGAAATTTGGGATAGAATTAAGTTTTGGGTGGCGTTATGGATGTCTCAAGTTAACGGCCTTAATACTTTTCCGGATGGGATTTAGGCCTTCAATAGTCTTGTGCTTTTAGGTTTTTGGTGCTGTTGTTTTGTTGTGTTAGGTGGACTCCTTGTCCCCTTCTGTACTCTTTTCTTTTCTATTAATAGCTAGTTTAAATCGCACGCGTACATAAGAATGAAAAACATATTTATTAAGGTGTCATTTAGAGAAATAAAAAAAAATGTATATTAGGACAAAAAGGATACGAATGAATAAAAGGGAGGGGAAAAAAAAAAAAAGAAAAGAGAGAAAAAAGAACGAAAAATAAAAAAAAAAAACTCACTAGCGAAACGTTTTATCCGGGAAACATGATTTAAAAAAAAAATAGAGATACGTATGAGAAGAAATTATTTAAATGGGGAATTAAAAAGAAGTATATTTATGAGGGCCAATTTGGAGAAAAGAAAAAAAAAGAAAAATGTATAATAGGGTAAGAAATATAAGAATGTAAAAAGGGTAGACAAGAAAAAGAAAAGAAAAGAGGAAAAAGGGTGATAGATTAAAAATAAAAGGAAAGAAAGAAAGTTAAGAAAAAAAATCAACAAAACGGGAGGAGTCAACGAACAACCCCCCAGCCCCACCACACACACACAAAAACGGATTCTCTCTTAGCATTTAGGTGTGGATGTTCTCTCCTTTCTTATTAAAAAAATAATAATAATAATTTATTTCTGTTTAACGAACCTTATTCATGTTCCCTGTTTCTTTATTTATGCAAATCTCGTTCTTTTCTCCAGATCTTGAAGACCCTCTTTGAAATTATCATATTTGAGGATTGTGGTAACAGATGGAGTCTTAGCAGGCCAATGCTTAGCTTAATACTTATCAATGAAGAGGTAATGTGTACACTCTTTATTCTTTTACGTTTTATGTTTCCTGTTTGGGTTAATTTCATAAATGGTCCCTAACATTTACCTTCAATCTCATTTTAGTCCCGGACTTTTCAAACGTCACTCAGTTGGTCATTGAGGTTTTATTTTGTTTCAATTTCAGTCTTTCTATTAAGTAGGTGTTAAAATTTGATGGAATCTATATAAATTAAGGACTAAAATTGGAAACATAAGATTTTGAGACTATTTGTGGAAATTAACTTTTATTTTTTGAATTGTTTGTCCCTAAACTTTATATGTTTTTAATTTTAGTCCTTAATTTTTACAGATTCCGTCAAATATTTAACACTAAGCTAACAAAAGGATTAAAACTGAAACTGAAACAAAGTAAAACCTTAGGGACCAATTGTGAGATGTTTTAAAAGTCATGGACTAAAGTGGGATTGAGAGTAAATCTCAGGGACTATTCGTGAGATTGACCCTTCCTGTTTTTATATCTTTCTGTAAGCTTTCTTAAGAGTGTTTTCTGTATGACCGGACTAGACCAATCCATATATAGCTACTGCTAATTGTTGAAACGGTCTTCTGAATGAATGGGATATATTATATTTGTTTAAAAGACTTTCTCGGATTAAATGGATCAAAAGTATGGGAATAAGATCTAAACTTAAGGACCTAGATCAAACATGTCAGTTGAGAAATAACTTTAGTCTTGTACAGATATGTGAAGGGTTACAATCCTCATCAACCCCGAACTTCTAAGAACTGATCCTTTGCCGCTTGCTGGGAAAATTGAGTTGACATAATAACTGTCATATGGGAAATGCACGGCCAATGGCTAGTTTTCCTTGTAATTTGAGTGCTATTCTTGTATTGATTTTTCAATTCTAGATGTGAAAACAATCTCCTGTCAATTTTACCCTGATCATTTTTTTTTAATCAATTATACACATTAAATTTTCAAGCACCAATACCTAGGTGGTAGCCGGCCATGCACTGCACACAAGAAAAAAAGAGGGGGGAGAAAACAAAAAGGGTGGTCATTTTTTCTTCTCAGCATTTATACCTATTAAGTTGAGCAATTGCCTGACAGATGTTCACTAATATTTCTTCTATGCTTGTGTTTTAATTAAATTGAGCGTGATTTTCTACAGATGTTCACTTCAATAAAGGGTCAGATTTTGGCTTCATTTGTAAGTACTCTGATATCTCAGTTAAATATTTTATTTTTGGGGAAGGTTTTGGTTGCTTTTGATGAGCTTCCTTAAAGTTGTAAAGATGGTTGGGTGGATCCACTTGTCTTGTGGATCAAAGTCAAGATGTCTTTAAACATTATTTATTCTTCGTAAGAAGCTAAATGAAGCTCACAAATCAATACATAATAGAACATGAAAACAAGTACTACAAACTCCACAAAGTTGACCGGTAAAAATGGATTAACAGCAGAGCCATGTAATTTATATCAATTACTGTGTTGATAATTCATGTTTAGCCATCAATTCAAGTTGCGGCAATAGAATTTTCAACCAAAAAGAAAGAAAAAGTTGCTGCAGTAGGATATCAACATTTCTGGGGTTTTACTCTAATTTTAAACCCAAATGAAGATAAAATCATTTCAACAAAAAAAAAAAAGAAAAAGATATGAACAAATTATATATTTATTTATTCATATATTCCCAATTGGTCTAATTGTTGGTCTTATTCTCTGTTGGTTTGATCTACTATTAAGCAGAGATTATCCCTGATGATTCTTTCTTTTTATAACCATTATGCAGCCATTGGATCAACAGCAACGTCTTTCCCCGTGCTTTGACAAACTTATGGCAGACGTAACTCGAAGCTTAGAACAAAACAACAGGGACAGATTCACCCAAAATCTAAACAGATTCAAGAATGGACTCCGTGTTGTATAGCTTTTGTTTGTCTGTCTTTAAAATATCAATGAATTTTGGGACAACTGTAAATCCTCGCCCACTTCCTCGTTCCTAATTTTTTTTTTTTTTTCTTTATTCTATGGGATAAAAACTAATACATCTTTTACAGGCAAACTTGGATTTATTTGTATGAAGGAAAGTTTCTTTTTTTTTCTTTTTTATAAAAGGTTTAGAGGGAGTGGATAATTTTTTGTACAAATATACCGGAAGAAGAAGGACAAGACAATGGAAAAGGTTCTTACAGGGACATACGTTTTTTGTTTTTTTTATTTTTATTTTTTTATTTTCTTTGCGTGTTCTTACTGCATAATCTTCTCTTAATCTCTTAATCGTGTTTTTGATCCTCTAAATCACATTAACCACACAAAAATTTGATATATTTCCATTGATAAATTTTTACCGTCAACGTATCATCAGTGGTGATTGTCATTAGTGGTTCAATTAATAGAAAATATAACATGTAAAAAATGGTAACCTTGTTTAATATGTCCTTTTTTAATGCTTATAATATAATACACGCATTCTTACCATAACTATCCAGCGAAATTACGTTCATAGGTTCAGTCAACAATTATAATCTTGCCAATCTTAAATTGCTTCAATATATTCTTCATTGGAATATGATATTTTCATTCATAAAATAAGTTTGAGAAAGACATTCCTTGTTATAACCCTATGGCCAACCAGTAAGGTAACTAAAAGATCAGATTAGAATGAAAGGAACTAAACAACAATTTGCCTCATTGTACAGTAAACAAGTTACATGATTTATGTGAAAAATGTGAGTGCGGCAAGAAAGACAGCTTCAAGACACTTCCCACCTAACATGGGAAAAAGTACAAGTTAACAATAAAAGACATATATAAGATCCAAACACGCTATAATGAAGTAAATATAATCATCAAGAAAGAATTATTGGTGCAAATAATTTTAAACAAATCGAGAAAGAATTATTGGTGCAAAGGACAAGTTAACTTAAACTTATGTTTTTAGCAGAAGATGTATCAGATCCCTCGGACTTGTACTGGCCAATGAAGAGCATGGAAGTACTTATCAAATATTTTTTTCCCTAATTATACACGTTCATACAAGTCCTAAGCAAGTGAAGATAAATTATGCAGCTCAAGATGAAAATGCATACAACACTTTATGTCTAAAGGAGGACAATCCTACTTAACCAGATTACTGAAAATTTTTCAAGCAAAGAAGATTACCGAAAATTTAGTTTGCGTGACTGATTGTGGCAGATCTGCGCTTCATGTTGTTGAAATATTCAGAATGAGCAGCTGAAGAAGAGACACCATTAAGCTTTATTTGGAATTTCGATCATCCTTTTATGCATTTGTCACTTGCATTACTTTTAACTTCATCCAACTGTTCTTTCAACAATTTCACTTGGACTATCATCGGTATTTACATCACTCAAACTCTCTAAGATTGGGATAACCCAATCTCCTTCTCCTTTAACATCTTCCTTTACTTTACAAACTACATTGTCTCTTTCTGCTCTACTCCTATCGAAACCTTGTAATTCTTTAGTATGACGACACCCCATCAATATAAGATCCAACATCTTTCTCCGAACCTCATACATCTGATTGGATTCGACCAAACACCCCCTACTATACGCCTCCCTAAGGAAAACTCTCGGGGTATTCCCTTTGGTGGATATGTAAAATATTCCAGGGTGGTTCAACAACACCTCGCGCACGTTAACTTCAATAGCCAAATCCCTCCGGAAATGAGCTAACCTTTCAACCTCAACCACTTTCTCAACTGTCAAACTCAAGAACTCATGAAGAATTGCCACAGCCCGCTTCTCGTACCGTGCGCAAGAACGAACTCGAACTAGTCTTTTCCTCTCATAAGGCTTCACATAAGGAAGCCTTTGCCAATTCTTCAACCTCTCTCTAAACCCGCTCTCGATCTTAAACCCCGTCGGGAAGTTGATGGGAAACGCATACCTTGTCTCGTACTCGCTCAACCACTTCTCCCTGTACTCTCTCTCCCGCCAATTCTCAATCTCAGCCAACCCCAAATCCTCATCATGACCTCCATCAACCACTTCCACAACCTCCAAATCAACTAATTTAAACTCCTTGGAATGCTTAGCGAGAATGGATTCCCTGAAGTCCTCAGGCAAACCCAATTCTCTACTCACCAGTCTCAAAGCGTAAACCTGAAGACTCCCATTCACAGACATCAACAACAACTTCTTGACCCTTTTCACAGCTTCCATTTCCCATTTCTTTACAGCATTTTCTTCTTCTTTAATCAACCCCAACATTTTATTACTAATTCTACAGCAAAGTTTTCTCCTTACCGGGTGAGGAAATACGTCGAACACATGGCGGTACTTGTGAAGAAACTCCCCAATCCGTACGTTCAGCCCCGCGAGGGTCCTCCAACGGGACATGATCTGTACGGACACGAAAGGACCGCGCTTTCTGTGGGCCATGAGTTCGTGGAGTTTAAGGATTACGTTGAGCTTCCTGAGTTGGGTCGAGAGCTTGTCCAATTGGGTGTCTCTAGTCCTGTCTTCCAAGCGAGTTTGTGCTGATTCGACTAACTTCTTTTTCCACCTTATTTGTGCCCATGAATTGAAGGGAATGGCGGGTTGGATGAGGCGTAGACTCAAGCTGTGTAAAACTCTCATGTCTATAAACGTAACGTGTTTCCAGAGAAAGAGAGAGATCAATACTCAATACCATGTGACGCGTTTGTGGGAAAGAAGTTTAGTTTAGTTTGCGGACAATGCCCATCTCATATCCCTCCGGAAACAAAGAAAGTGAAGCAAAACTTGGTCATGTGTCCCAAAAAGAAGTAACAATAACTGCATAGATAATCTAAGTGCTATTACGACGTGATTTTACTCTTCTGCTTTATTTCTTGCGCGGAAATGTCATTTTATGAGAATCCTAGAGTAGATTGAGAGAGAGGTGGAAGCAAAGTGGAATAGTGTGGTTGAAATGCACAAGAAGCAAAGTGAAAGCACCAAGAGTAGCTCAAAGGGATCACTGATCTTCTTGATCAAGGGAAAGCACATGTCTCCAGCCACAATTTCTTTTGGGAAAATCAATGAATGAAAATGAAACCTCCGGAGCTGCATCGGGGCTTGAATAGATTATTACGGATTTTGTATTTTTCGAGTGAGGGTATTAATTTAAGTTAATATGTATTAGAAAGAAAATCAATTTTTTTAAATTATAAATTAATTTTAGAATGTAAAATATAAATAAAAATATAAATTTTTTACTCAATTCTGATATCTGAGGCCCCACTATAAAAGTTTTTGAGTATAAAAGTAGTTTCTAATCTTAATTAGATCAATTTTGAAGCTTCTTTTGAAATTCTTTTATTATCTAAATTAATTAGGAATTTATGAGAAATGTTATTGAAAATTTATAAAATAAATAGATATCCACTAACTTTTATTCTTACCTCAATGTTGATTTTTCAAGTTTCAACCATCTCAAGCCCTAAATGTACTCTCATCTTAAAAAAAAAAAAAAAAATGCTATAGTCCAAAAATGCATCTTCTTTAAAATGAAAAAAAAAATGAAAAAAAAGACTCTTCTGTGGGCCGCATTAGGCCTTGGGTTGCTTCTTGATTTGTGAGCTTTGTTCCGTGGTGTGGTGAAACCTTGGCAGGGCTGCATGGCTAGGTTGGCTAAAAAAGCTGGCGACATGGGGTCTCATGCGAAGTCGAAGAGGCATTCCTTCTATGGGTCTTTCGCTAGGGTGGGTTTGGTATTGGTCTTAGGAGAGAAAAAGCACTTATTCAGGAATCTAAAAGCTAAAATCTTGTTTGGTAAAACAGATTTTAAAAAAAATTTCCTCCCATCTGAAGCTAAAAGCAGAATCAGCCTTTAGGCTGATTCTGATTTCAGCTTATGCGGGAATTCATTTTGAGTGTTTAATGAAATTTTTTATTTCCAATTTTACCCCTACTGAATTCTGAAATTTACAACCCATTTTCAGGTTAGTCTCCTCCTCTCGTCCACTCGTATCTGAGCCCTCATCTCCTCCTCTGCGAAAATTTTTTCTGTGTTCCTCTCCTCGCCGTTCGAAGCAAGGTTCCCCGGCTCCGTTCACCGGCCTCTCTCTTTGTTCGCCGGTTGATCTCTCTGTTGGCGGTTCGGAGCTCGTTTGGTTTCTCTTCCGCCCGATTGATCTCTCCGTTGCCGGTCTCCCTTCTCCTCCTCTGACTGCACGTCTCTCGTCATCAGATCAAGAGGTAAGCTTCTCTAACCGCGCGATTTTTAGTTTGAACATTTCGATTTTTGGGTCTGATTTTTAGTTTGAATATTTTGGGTTTTATGTTTCTGATTTTCGCAGAAAAACGGCTGGGCATTGTTGAGGGTTCGGTTTGCCGGTATCCCATCTCCTCCTCCGACTACCCATCATTAGATCAAGAGGTAAGCCTCTGTTTGTTTGTGGGTTTTAGGTTTCTGATTATGGGTTTTGCAGAAAAACGGTTGACCATTGTTGAGGGTGCGTGTTGATGCTTTCTGATTATAGGTCTCTGATTATGATTGTTTGTTTATGGTTTGAAACTTTGATCCGTGATTGCTATATGTAAATGTAAAAGTTTTGCCAACAAGCTTAAATAAAGGCCCCACGAGCAAATCTCTAAACCACCAAGTCAAACACAAGTAGCATTAGAAAATATGAACTCTCTTTACAAATCCGTGATTGCTATATGTAAATGTAAAGGGGCGTTTGGTATGGGGTAATCATAAGGAATCATATTCCTAGGAAAGTGATGGTAATATGATTCCTAGGAATAATACATTATTGTGTTTGGTTCCATACAGGAATCTTTCTCAAATTCCTAGGAATATTACATTACTGTGAGATTTAGAGTGTGGTCATTTATACAACTCAAATTATGATTTGGGTTATATATAAGAGAAAAACACTGTAATAAAAAAATTAAATTTAAATTTATATGAGAAAAAACCACTCTTTAATAATGTGATTTAAATCATGAAGTAAATAAGGCCTTGGTTGATATAACACCTCATTGTTTTGGAGATGTAATGATGAGACGTTTTTTTTAGTCATGAAATCCATTTTTGGATAAAACAGTAAAAGTTATTCTAAAAAGTGCTTTACTGGACTTGTTTGAATAATATTGTAGAGATCTTAATTATGCAGTAAAATGTTTACTAAACTAACCTTAGGGGAAATATTCACACTCAATTTAGTGTGTCTAGTTTTCCTAATTCTTTTCTAATTAATTTATTCATTTAAATTTTTTAAATATTCAGTTTTTAGATTTCCTTTCTCCCCTTATTAAGTTAAGTTACTCATTATCTAGTTTCCTCATTGTATCTAGTTAAGTTATTCATCATTATCTAGTTTTCTCTTTTTAATATTTGAATTGTAATTGTAACTCTATAAATACGTAGATCATTCAATGAGAAGAATATATCGGCCATGTTTGGAGTTGGTTTTGTTTTTTTTTACGTTTTTTGAGAAAGAAAAAATAAAAACGGGAGAGAAACGGTGTTTGACACAATTAAAGATAAAAAACGGAAATGAAAACGATTTTTTAGTTTAGTGCAAAATGAGAGAGAAATGAAAAATGACTTTTAGTCGTTTTTCATTTTTTGTTTCCGTTTTCTCTTCTCTCGAGCACAGAGAGAGACATTAATGGATTTTTTTATACTAAAAATAATTTCTTAATAAAACTACCAAACGCATTTTCAAAAATGATTTCGGTATGAGATTGAAAACATTTTCATTTTCATTTTTATACAAAAAATAAAATCATTTTAAAACAAATTCCAAACGCACTCATCATATTTTTCTCCTCTCTCGATTATTTTCTATATAGAATATAGATGTCTGGTTTTCTCAGTAAAATGTTTATATGTATTTTGTTCAATCCCCAATGTATTAAGAGTGGGTTTGATATTGCTTTTAGGAAAGAAAAAGTACTTATCTAGGAATCTAAAAGCTCAAACTTGTTTGGTAAAACAGATTTTTTAAAAAATTTCCTCCCATCTGAAGCTAAAAGCAGAATCAGCCTTTATGTGGGAATTCATTTTGAGTGTTTAATGAAATTTTTTATTTTCAATTTTACCCCCACTGAATTCTGAAATTTACAACCCATTTTCAGGTTAGTCTCCTCCTATCTTCCACTCGTATCTGAGCCCTCATCTCCTCCTCTGCGAAAAATTTTTCTGTGTTCCTCTCCTCTCCTCGCCGTTCGAAGCAAGGTTCCCCGGCTCTGTTCACCGGCCTCTCTCTCCGTTCACCGGTTGATCTCTATGTTGGCGGTTCGGAGCTCGTTTGGTTTCTCCTCCGCCCGATTGATCTCTCCGTTGCCGGTCTCCCTTCTCCTCCTCTGACTGCCCGTTTCTCGTCATCAGATCAAGAGGTAAGCTTCTCTAACCGCGCGATTTTTAGTTTGAACATTTCGATTTTTGGGTCTGATTTTTAGTTTGAATATTTTGGGTTTTAGGTTTCTGATTTTCGCAGAAAAACGGCTGAGCATTGTTGAGGGTTCAGTTTGCCGGTATCCCATCTCCTCCTCCGACTGCCCATCATTAGATCAAGAGGTAAGCCTCTGTTTGTTTGTGGATTTTAGGTTTCTGATTATGGGTTTTACAGAAAAACGGTTGAGCATTGTTGAGGGTGCATGTTGATGCTTTCTGATTATAGGTTTCTGATTATGATTGTTTGTTTATAGTTTGAAACTTTGATCCGTGATTGCTATATGTAAATGTAAAAGTTTTGCCAACAAGCTTAAATAAAGGCCCCACGAGCAAATCTCTAAACCACCAAGTCAAACACAAGTAGCATTAGAAAATATCAACTCTCTTTACAAATCCGTGATTGCTATATGTAAATGTAAAAGTCCTGGGTTTTAAAAAAGTCTAATAATTGTACCAAACATGGGAATCTGAAAGATTCCCATTCCCACCCCTATGATTACCCCATACCAAACGCCCCCTAAAAGTTTAGTATATGCTGAAGTAATCACAGAACTTCCATAGATTGCATTGGTTTGGAAACTGCTGAAAAAGTACTAAGAACGAAATAATTATCTCCATAGATTGGACCGAAGCTTGTTGGCATCTATCTGGTTGTTTGTTTTATTTATATAGTTGTAGTTTTTTGATGACCAGTTGCTGTTATTTGGAAGATACTGTTACAGGGCAGCATCTTTAATGTGTTTCAAAGCAAATTTTTGCTTTAAAACCCTTGATTGTTGAGATGCTCAAAATCGTTATGATGCAAAATGGTTGAATTAAGTGTCAAATTAGAACTTTTTTCAGTGCATGGGACGCATGTATTAATGTTTTCTGTCCTAGGAAAAAAAACAAAAATTTGTAGTGTTATATATATGTTGAATTTTTGTGAATGGTACATGGGATTTGAGTTGTTTGCTTTTGTTTTCTTTTGGGTCCTGAAGCTGAGTTTTTTTTTATTTTTATTCTGTCTTGTTTTTCCAAACAGTCAACAAGTTTGTAGCTGATTTCAAGCTCTTTTAAGGAACATTTATCATAGAAAAGCACTCTTAATAGTTCAAAGTGCAATAATTGGCAAAAGCAAAAATCTTTGAGCTTTTTTTTCTGATGGATTACGAAAACTGCATCTGGCAGGAGACCCAACATTGCAGATGGATTACGAAAACTGCATCTGGCAAGAGACCTAACATTGCACTGCAGTGTCGTTTGCTAATTTTTGTTGAGGATAGCTCCTCTTTTCATTCCAAAGCTCTCTATATGACCTCAAAACTAGATAGACGGCATGGTGCCTTGGTTGAGGTATGTCTCTCAGCTCTACTTCACTCTGTTATAATCTTGAATGTAATGTTTAAAGAAGAAGAAAAGAAAAGCTTATTGCTAGGAGGGTGTTTAACCACAGGTTCAGGCATGTGGGTCAATGGTGATAGAGGAGCAGCCTCATGCCATGTTGATACCATTGGAGTATTTTCTCATAGGGTATGACTTGTACAGGCCAACTCAGTCAAATGTCAGCCCACGAAGTCCGTTGAGTCCATTGTGCATAGATCAGGAGCTTTTTTTGCCCGAAAGTATGGGCTTGAAGCTGAAAC